GCCGCCGCTCGCCCTTCTCTGGAGCCACCGTCGCCGCCGCCATTTGCACGGGGACCCCGGTGACAGGGGCTCGGCAGAGGGGCGGAGGGAGGGGGGGAGGGCCCGCGGAGCCCCCGAGGGCGGGAGCGACGCCGCCGGCGCCGGCCCGGCTCCTTGTGCGACCGCGCCGCCCGCGGCGGGCCCCGAGCAGCAACAGCGGCGGCAGCAGCAGCCGAGGCCGGGCGTGCGCCTGAGGCGGCGGCGGCGGCGGCGGCCCTGCGGGCAGCCGGGAGAGGCGGGGGCAGCGGCCGCCGCCGTTTGATGGATCCGAGGATCGCCTGGTTCCAGCCAGAGCAGCTCGGACCGTCCAACAGTCTGTGGATGCAGATCTGGGAGACGACTCAGGGGCTGAGGAACCTCTACTTCAACCACCACTGTCACAGCAGCGGCGGCGCGAGCGGCGGCGGCGGCGGCAGCAGCACGGCCACCGGCGGGAGCGGCAGCAGCACCGGCAGCCCGGGCGGCGCGGCCCCGGCCCCGGCCCCGGCCGGCATGTACCGCTCCGGGGAGCGCCTGCTGGGCGGCCACGCGCTGCCGGCGGAGCAGCGGGACTTCCTGCCCCTGGAGACGACCAACAACAACAACAACCACCACCAGCCCGCGGCCTGGGCTCGCCGAGCCGCTGCGGCTTCCTCGGCATCCTCATCCCCCTCGGCGTCCTCGTCCCCGCACTCCGCGGCCCCCGAGCCCGCCGACTCGGCCCCCGGCAGCAGCAACAAGAGGAAGCGCGACAACAAGGCCAGCACCTACGGACTCAACTACAGCCTGCTGCAGCCCAGCGGAGGGCGGGCCGCGGGGGGCGGCCGGGCCGACGGCAGCGGGGGCGTGTACAGTGGGACCCCGTGGAAGCGGAGGAACTACCACCAGGGAGTCGTGGGGTGAGTGCCCTTCGGCCTGGTGGCCTGGCCCATGCTAACGCTTAGCCGGGCACACGCCCACAGTCGGGTGGGAGGGAGCCCGGGAGAAGCCAGCCCAGGGCCTGCTTTTGCTGCTGCTTCACAGAGGGCTGATGGCCATCTCCCCATCCCCCACCCCCATCCCCCAGCCATCTACACCTTCTCCAACCCTCCTTAGCCATCCACACCTTTTCCCTCAGCCATACACCCTCCTCTCCCATGCCCTCCCTTAGTCATCCCCACCTTCTTCCCCTCCCTCTTAACTGCCCACACCTTCCGTGGCCCCCCTCTTTATCCATTCACTCTTCCCTCCCATCCCCCTTAGTCAAACACACCTTTCCCTAATCCCCTCTACCAGCTCTCCAGCCTCTACAGATTTGTCACCATTATCACATCCCAAGATGAGATCGTTTAGCACGGGCATATCGTTCATTCCTTGAAAACATTCATGTGTTAGAATCTTTTGATGGTACAGGACCGGGAGGTGCTTTCCTTGCCAAGAATAGAAACATCCAGAATGCTCCTCCCCCTCCCCCAATCCCAGACAGGAATCATGTCAGCCCTGTAAGGCATTGCCTGCTCTTGACCCTTTGGCCCATCTTTTTATTTTTATTTTAAACAGTTTCCTGTATTAATGATGTCCTGTTTTGGGGGAGGGAGAGGTGAGGTGACAGCTAAGTTTACGCTGGTGGAGGTGGTGAGCTCCTCTTCTGAGTCCTTGTGATAGAACTTTCCAGGAGTTCATGGTCCGAGACTCCAGCTTCTCACTGTAAAGTTATCATCCTGGCAGAGGCAGCCAATGCTTTTCATTCTAGGGGGTAGATCTATGCTAATGAGTGAATGTTGCACCACTAGTGACTTTCTGTTTAAAGTTCAGCTCTTACAAAATGGAATCTTACCTGGCCCCTGGTGAATTATGCACATAAGCAGGGAATGTTTCCAGCCAAATTTCCCTTCTGGAAGAGCCCCTATGCTAGAATAGGTTACTAAGTCTTTTTTCTTTTCTAAAACACGGCTTTTGGATTGTATGTGTGTGTGTGTGTGTGTGTGTGTGTGTATATGTGTATGTGTGTATGTATTTAGCTCAAGTATGGAGAACTGGCTTTCAAATTGCTTTTCATTTTTCAGGTCTTTTTCTCATTGAGTGCAATGGTATGAAAATGAAATCACCAATTACTGATCCCCTGTGAACCTTTTCTTAGATATACGCATTCAGATCTGCCCTGCTTTGGCAAGGAGAGACAGTTCTGTGTACCTTTTTGAAGGTCTGGGTAAAATGAGTTGGTGGGTTCCATCTGCTTCTAGTGGGCTGGTGTCTGCTATATGCTACTATTACAACTCCCACCTTTCATGGAAAATGCAGTCAAGCATTTTAGAACTGGTGCTGGGGTACGTGTCAAAGCAGCCCTCGCTTTCCAGAGGGGAACCCTTTAGGGTTGAGTCCTCTGTTGCTGAGCTTCAAGGGCGCTCTCCATGGTCATCACATTTTATTAAGGGCTTGTGGTTCCATCCTGTTAGCATTTCCAAGTGTAAACCTGTGGTCTAGTGACAAGCAAATTGATATTGAGGGCTTCTGATAGTTTCATTTCACTGGAATAAGCTCCAGTTAGGTAATCACTGTCAACTAAAACCTTGAATTTCCCTAACTGCGTATTACTGGAGCCTCTTTGCATGTATCTAGAAAAGAGACATTATAAATCGAAAATACTAGCTGCTTCTTATTTTGATAAATTAGAAGTTGTCCTCTCTACATGATATTTAATGTAAAGGATATTGCACAAGGTTCACATTTGAACTTAATGTAGAAGCAAGATGTTCTTCCTGATTCAAATATTAGATTGTCTTCAAAGCGATTAGGAGAGGAATTTTCATTTCCCAGTGGGATTACTGTTTAAAAACTGAATGCAAACCTGTTTTAAAACTGCTTATCACTTCATCAGATTTTCCATTCTTTTGACTCCTCCTTTGTGAGGATGTCAGCAGTTAAAATTTTTCCCCCCCAATTCTGAGACCTCCTAGTTTTAGAAAATACATTAAGCAGTTCCTAGCACTGTTTTTGTAAGAGAGCCTGGGTGCTTAA